TTTGGGGGGATAATGTTATGTGATCGGGGGATGAACCAGCTGCGGGTGGCGCTCGATTAACTCCAGACGTGGGAATGGCACGCACTGTTCTGAGCAATATGCAAACACCAGTTTTTGTGCTTTCTAACTTGGGTATTGAGTCAGTCTTGTTGTTTTGTATAGAGTCAGTCTTTTTGTTTTGGGTCTATCTTGGTGTATCGAGTCAGTCCTGTTTTGTTGGAGTCGAGTGATTTCGGGGGTGTTACCTCAGACATCACTTGCTTGTTTTGTGTCTGTCTTTTCGTTTTCTTTTGAGTATGTTTCTGCCTTGGAGCCAGTTGTGCCAACAGATTCTGATTGAAATAGCAGTGATTTTTGCACTCTTGTGTTTGCTTCTGCCGTGTGCTAGTTGTGCCAGGATTTGAATGAAACGACAGTGCATTCCACCTACTCTCTTGTGCCTTGAAATTATTGCATTGACCTAAGCTTTTCAAAACTTTTTTTTTGAACACTGCGGTGAAAACGAAGAGGAAGGAATTCCTCGGGTTTTGCAAAAATTTGATCAATTGAGAGAAAGAGAGGCATGCTAAGCCCTTAATGAATGAAAGCATGCTTGTTAGTGTGAGTACTGGGAAGGATCCTGGCTTGATCCAGATTGGTTCTACATTGTCTTCAGCGCAAGCGACTAGTCGCTTTCTTAAAAGATTTCAAAAAATGTTTTGCGCGGTCATGTGAAGACCTGTGTGGAATCGCTCTTGAGATTGTGCAGCTTAGGATCGCTCTCAGCCTCAAGACTCGATCCCTTGCTTTCAAACCTCGAACTCGGACTCAGAAAGTTCAAAGGTCAACCATAATGTGAGGCCTACGTGGCCAGATTCGAAGCAGCCCTCGAACTAGGGGCAAGAAAAGTCAGATCAAGAAGATCAAGTGTTTTCAAAGGGAGCTTGCGAAGCTAGATCAAAAGCCCTCAAACTAGGGGCAAAACTGTCAAATGTGCTCGAAGAGTCAAAAAAAATTGGGGTGTTTCTCAAGCTAACAAAGATCAGATCAGATGTCATCAAAAGAAGCTTGCAAAACTAGATCAGAAGCACCCCTCGAACTAGGGGCAAAAGATGCCAGATTGTGCTCGAAGAGCCGAAGATGGATCATTAAAGAAAAACTGAGTTCCGATCTACAACACTAGGGGCAAATCCAGCCCCCGTGGGATGGACTCCTGCATTGTCAGCGAACAACAGTCACTCTCCTGGATTCAGACGGATTCGAGATCTCAGAACCATTTGACATGGACCAAGCTACACTTTTACCCTTGAAAGGCTCGCTGGGCCGAAAACCCGGAAGGGCGACCCAGGCAAAAGTTAGAGCAAGAAAAAGAACAAAAAAAAAAGAAGAAGAAAAATGAAAAGAACAAAAAAAAGAAAAGAAGAAAAAGAAGAAAAAGAAAAAAGATGAAAAGAAAAGAAAAGAAGAACATAGCTCGCAAGGTTGAAAACCCGGAAGGGCGGCCTTGGCAAAAGTTAGAGCGCAAAAGGAGAGGTTAAAATACCCGAGTGTACCTTAACCCCGAACTACGTAAGGCTTGATTCCCATGTTTGGGATACGTAGGCAACTTCATTTTGAAGTCCAGCCATAAACACTTCCAAAATTGATTGTGTCCATGAAATGGTTTTGATCATCTTTGCCTTCTCTGTATCCGAGAGTCTGGTTGTGTTCGTCGATCTAAGGACTGACTACAATGCGTTGTGGTGCCGTTCAAACAAGGGGCAACTTTCCGTTGCCATTCAATGCGCTGCAGTGCCGCTCAAACAATGGGCAACTTTCCGTTGCCATACAGCTCCCCTCCAACAAGGGGCAATTTTCCTCCAGATCCGAGGTTGTGTGTCTCAAAAGTAGGTTCTGTGCTTGTTAAGCATTGGCCGTTTGCAAAAATAGTTTTTGAGAATTTTTACTGAGGTTGACTGATCTCTCAAAAATTGTTCCATCTTTTCAAAAAACTGGACCATTTCTTGGACCCAAAAAAGGAAAATTTTCAGTGCCTATAACCTAACTTGCATGATTTTAAATCAGAAAATCGAACAAGAATGTTAATCTAATTCTCATGTTGGTCAAAATTGTTTTAGCAGAATGTCAAAAACAAAAAATGGTCAAAATAATGAACTAGGGGCACAGTTGAGTCAGGCTTCCTGTCTTTTCCCAGTTGTCGATGCATCTGCCAAAAAGGGCATTCTACCTGCCAAAAAAGGGCACCACTGAAGCTGACCACAAAAGGGCAGAAAGCTCTCACATCCTCCAAGCAACGAGGTATCAAGCCAAGTGCGAAGCATAAGCTGGAATGGGGCAAGATATTACACTCCCTCATCTGGACAGATCTAACCACGTCCAAACTCCCCTGCAGAGCATCGACAGCCGATGTCAGCTGCAGATTCGCTACACGCTTAGTTGCAGCACAACCCCTCTGTGGGAGGAACTCACTAGCTGGGCGCAGAAAAAGAAGAATCTAGCTGAGTGCTAGGGGGAAAAGCCCACAACTTTTTGTTTATCCATCAACCACCCTGGGGAGGGATGAAAAATGAGAGATTAAAGAATAGAGAGATGTGCGCTGAGAGGAAAAGCGAGGAAAGGGTTTTGAGAGAAAAACAGAGCCTGAGGGCCAAGTGATGTGAGAATCATAAATGAGAAAGGGTGGGAAACAATACCCGGAGAAACTGGCTCCTCACGAACTGAGAGGTCTCTCGTCTTTGTAACACGTCTATGTGTCGTGTCTTTTGTTTTGTTTGTCTCGATTCTTGCTTTGAGTCGTTCCGAGTATGTCTCGATGTGTTTAGGTTGTTTACCTTTTCTTTTCCGTTGTTGAGTCGTTTTGGCTGTGGTCAGTTGTAGGCTCAATACCCGGTTGAGAACCGTTTTCTCATTTCAATTTCAAAAATCGTTTTGTGCTCAGAGTGCCGTGTCGTTCTCCA